TAGTAGTAGTAGTAGTAGTAGTAGTAGTAGTAGTAGTAGTAGTAGTAGAACGTCTGTCTGGACGGCACGCCCACACAACACCCGATATCCCAGGATCGCACTACCCATGTCTGAGTTGCAGCACCTTCCTCGTGCTCTATTTGCTTGTTTTTTTTTTCAATCTGTCTAACGTTCCCCTTTTCTTGCCCTGCCCTTTAAGACTTTGCTGTATTTGTGCGCGAACACGAACGAGAGAAGTTCAGCCAACTCTGCAAGGGTCTCACAGGCCTTCCAGTACAGGATACCCAGGCCGGTTCCGAGGGCAATACCGTCCCATCTTCCGGCCAGAGTAAGCATGCCTTTTCTTCTGGCCTCTGCGCGCCATATCTTGACTGTGATTTACATGTTCAGTTTTTTTTCTTCTCTAGTTCCAGCCCTGGCCGAATTACTCTCCGTCTGTCCGCGTTGTCAGAAGCGTCCAATTGAGAATCCCTTAAGGGCGCCCTGCTCACACTGTTGCTGCTTCACGTGTTGGCGGGATATAATTGAAAAGGTAAGTACGTGTGACAGCCTTGGTGGTTTCGCTGAAAGCAGAAGTAGATGTATCTGTAGTGGTCGACAAACATTTTGTTAGATTCGCCTCTACGTTACCAAAACCTGTCATCTACACGCCAGACACAGAGACTGCCTGTGTTGGACTGAGATGAACAGTAGACTGCTTTGTGAATACACTCTTAGACCGATGTTTGCTGAAAACGTGCATCTCCTTCCAAATCCGTCCGAATAAATTGAGAAAGGAAAAATCTGTCTTCCCAAACGTCTAACCGACTTTTAAGCAATTTTCCTAGGTGACAACGCGATAGATGCTTTGATCACAACTAATCTCTCCAGGCACAGGAACTCACATTTACTACTACGAAGTAAGTTGGTGAGCAGGACAGTAAATAATTATGTTGTTTTACCTATAAGCTATTGTTATCCTTCTATGTAATACCGACATTCAATAAGAATGGAGAGAGTTCTTGATGTAGGATGTAGTCTCACTTGTTCGGATAAGTAGCCACGTCGACATTGGAGACTCGTCGCCTAGCTGATGAATAGTTTTCAGACAAGTTATGGGAAAGGGATCCCTATCCGCTGGTGGCTTATCGTTCAACTCGGGTGTATATTCTTTGTGGATCCATCACTAAGTAAACTTCAGTGTTCTGCTATTATTGTTCGATTTACCTTGTGAAACTTCGCCGGAGGCCTCACTGGGTGCATGAAGGAGCCATGTCAGTAGTGTCATATTACAGGTTTATCTTATCGGTGTTGACTCTTCTGCCTTTTTTTGTTTTCTCAGGAAAATCGTCGTTGTCCTGTCTGTGCATGTCTCGTCCGCCGGCGTAATCTAGTGAGAATCGTCGAGCGGTCACACACTGCCTCAACAGCCAACAAAGGTCCTTAATTATCTCCATCTTCCTACCTCGAAACGCATACCTCAAAAGAACTTTTACTACATTATTTTCGTACTTATGATGTATATGACTTATTTCAATAAAAAAAAAACATAGCATTAGTGCTGCATTCCGTTCTGTTTTTACTTGTGGAACAAGACAAGCAAATGGACATCTGAGAAGAGTAGTTGGCGAACATACGTAGGCTTTCGATAAATTCTGCGACATTCCTATTTTATGATTGAAAAGTCGTATTGGTAAACAATTATTTTCGGTCATTCATCATCAGGCCGGTACATGACATAAGAAATAAAATGGTCAGTTAATTGCCGCGTTTATATAATCGTCAGGCTGGGGGGAGGAAAGGGGTTAGTGGATGAAGATAATTAAGCAGCTGGG